ACAGTTCTTGATTTTAATGACCAGATTCTCTTTTCCCCACTGCAACACTGGAGGTTCAACTCAGGGCCTCACACACACACAAAAGGAAAGTGCTCTACTACAGAGCTACATCCCCAGTTCATACAAGGTCCTTAAGTTATGGTATTCCATACAAATCAGAGCTACTAAAATCAATGTCTATCTGTTAATTTTTTTTTAATATCCAGCTCTTAAGTGGTAATTTGAAAACTTAACTACATCTGTTTACTCCCTTTGCCTATACATATAATGTAGTAGAACAAGCTAGGTCTGAGTCATGAATTGAATTTTTCACAATTTGTCAGGCCTTTTAAGTAGATAAGGTAAACATAAAGAAATGCATAAATTATACCTTATGCTTGTTTTGAAATTGGTTCCCAATAATCTGAATACTCTTATAAGATAGACCCATTTTATTAGACATTTAAAAATACTTAGATTTAAGAATGTAAACAGTGGGGATGTGGCTCAACTAGTAGCGTGAGTCACTGGGTTCGATCCTCAGCACCACATAAAAATAAAATAAAGATATGTGTCCACCTAAAACTAAAAAGAAAATATAAAAAAAGAATCAGCTACTTAAAAAAAAAGAATGTAAAGAGTAGGAAATGTTTGTAAGAATTTCGTTCCACATATTAGGTGCTTTCTGATGGTGGTTGTGGTCTAAAGCTTTTGTATTTTATGAATTTAGAGTTCTGGAGTTTTTCTTTTTTGTGTTTTTCAGGCTCCACAGTTTTTAATGTCCTCAGAGGTGTCTTGGAGGTGGTAATTGGTGTGGCAACTGGATCTCTTCTTGGATTTTTTAATCAGTATTTTCCAAGCAGTGACCAGGTGAAAGAATTAATCTGGAGGAAAGTTACACTCTAAAATGTCATTAGAAAAACATTTTAGAATACTTCCCTTAAAGTGGATATGAGGGACATGTTTCATAAAATGGTTCATCTTTTTAAAGTTGCTTATTGCTATGTCTTTGCTATTCATGAAATTTATGATGAAGGCTGAAATATATGAGATTTTAATGCAGTCCTGGGTTATATTTGTATTTTATATGAATACATTATACTATATAAAATATATTATGTACATTTTGAATTTCACATTAAAATAAATAACATCAATTCCAAAATAATAAGATATGCGTGGTTTTTGAAGTTTCATAATACTCAACTAAGTTAAGATTATATGATGGCTTTTTTGGATCCTCTTTTTTAGTATCAAAATATCTTAGATTCTAATATTTTCAAATAGATAAGACTTTTAACATCTTATTAAAATACAGTAAAGCATTTCTTTTCAAGTAGATCAAAGTTCTTGACTATACACAATTATTTCCTAATGAGAAACAAATGTTTTGTTTTC